CTCCCTGTCTTTTTCTCTGTGTGCACGTGTGTCTTTCTACCCCCCCCCTCCCCTCAGTTTTATGTATCTATCTATCTATCTATCTATCTATCTATCTATCTATCTATCTATCTATCTATCTATCTATCTATCTATCTATCTATCTATCTATTCGGGGATTGAAAAAAAATCAAATATTGAACACTTTAAAAAAAAGTAGAACACGCCGTGCAACGAGTAACAACAACGTTTCAAAGTTTAGGGGCAGGGTAAGGAGTTTAGAACTTTTAATCTCCTTGGGGCAGGGGCAGGGGCACAAGCACACACTCCCGGGTGGTGGGTGGGTGGTTGGGGAGGGAGCTCTGGTTCTGTTAGCTCCTTCTTTCCAATCGAACATAATAAAATCATCCCTAACTCCCCTCCTCCTTCTCTGTGTTTGTTACTCTCATGTAACACCTCTAATCTTCATTCAGCGCTTACATATTATTAAGACCTTATTGTGCTGCAGCAAATATCGTAAAACTCTTAGTTAAGCTAAAACTCCTGGGTACACACACTTTGATTGAATGACTTTGAATGACTCGTTTCCCAACACAGCTCGGCCGGCACGTCGAGCGAGCGAGCGAGCGGGGGTAGCCCACAGCACAACAGTTGAGCACACCTTTCACGTCAGTGTGTTACAGCAATCCTGACAGCTGTAGGCAACTTCTGTCGGTCACAGGTGTGACAGAACATGCGAGTGGCAATTATTGACTGCGTCTGTTCGTCAATATCGGTAAATAAACAGGCAGCTGTAGGGGAACTTAATGCTGTCCGTCACAGATGTGATAGGACGTCTTGTGAGAGGTTATTATTGACTGCACGTCTGTTCGCCAATATTGGTTAATAAACTGTAATTAACATCAACAAGAGAAGTATCACCACTATTATTGGTAAATAAACATCAACTATAGAAGAAGTTATTCACTAGATCTAGTATTATTGGTACATTAACATTAACTATGTATGTAGAAGTAGTTAGTCACCGATATTATTGGTCGATAAACATTAAATATACAAGTAGTTAATCGACAATATTATTGGGGAAATAAACATTAACTGAAGAAGCAACTGATCACTAGTGTTATTGAAAGGTACGCAGTAAAAGCAACTACAGTAATAGTTAATCGCCAGTATTATTGGTAAATACAGATTAACTACAGGGTACTCTCTTGAGTCTAATAATATTGGTGAATTGCCAGAAACAGTACCCTACTGAAGAAAACCAAAATATAGTGCCCAACGCAGTGCAGTCGACGTCTTGATTTTAACCCTATCCCAAGGAGATTAAAAGTAAGCCCCTTGACCTATCCGTAGGTCGCGTTTTACTATACTATCGTATCCATACGACGTGGGGAACTCTGTGCCACCCCTTTCCAAAGAAGAAATTTACTCGTTAATCCGATCCGTACGCTTAGCATAGCAGTCTGTCAAAATGAGTTTTTGAGAAATACTGAAAGTTTCAAAGAGATCTTCGCTATAGAAGTATAGTAAAATATTATGATGAAAACAACCCCGGGCGTACAAAATGACCACAGGGCGTACGGGTAGGGTTAAATGACTGATTTAGAATCATCGAATTCAATGGGCTTTTTCTCCAGGCGGGACAGAGACGCCACAGACATTACCCTTTTCGTTTTAGTAGTTATAGGAAACGTTTTTTTGGCACTTGCAACACAATAAGGTCATATAAGTGCCGAAGATTAGAGGTGTTACAAGAGAATAACAAACACAAGAAAGAATGAGGGGAGATAAAGAAGATATATGTTTGATAGGAAAGAAGAAGCAAACCATACCAGAGCACCCGCCAACCACCCACAGACATTATCCATCCTTCAACATTGATCAAAACATTATAACTGCGGCGGCTTTGAAAAATTGTACGTGCTCCGCCTTTCGGCGTTATTCTTGAACAAACATTAATTTTCAGCGTTTAATATTCATTAGCAAACAAAAGCATGAATAAACGGTTGTGGACATAGTATTTTATGACAATTAATTCTTCCGGTCCCGAATTGACATCCCGTGTTTGTCGGTGTCACACATTTATGATACATACACACATGATACATATATTCATTCACACACACACACACACACACACACACACATACACACACACACACATACACACACACATACACATACACACACACACACACACACACACACAAATATACATGATACATACCAATGCAGACACACGCATATATAATATACACATAATGTATACACACACACAATTTAAGCACTTAAGCATATTATATACATTCATATGAACACACATAAGATCACACATACCTGACAAAACAAACACACACACACACACACACACACACACACACACACACACACACACACACACACACACACACACACACGTACACAGGGTACACGTACGGGAAAAGGCAGACGGACAGACAGAGAACCGGCGTGTGGTGGCAGGTGAGTACATTAATTACTCACACACGCTCTGAAGTCAGAGCCCGTCGAGTTCTCTCGCCGCTCAACTGTATCAAACATGCACATAATAGTGCGTCCCAGGGCCGGCACATACCTCAACACTATGCGACAAACTGAGGGGGGATCAATTATGGATGAGTTGAACACAGGATGAGTGACTCGACGGGCAGGGGGTGACTGATGATTCGTCTCTATCAGTACTATCACTATAACACACTAGTAAAGCGCGCGCGCACATTCTCCTACGAATGCACACGACATGTACACATGCATACATATGCCTACACACACACACACACACACACACACACACACACACACACACACACACACAC